TACAATCAGCAATCAAATCATACTAGGAAACAGTCAATTTAAATCGTAAGGATAGAAGCGACAAAGTTACAGTCATACAGTCAAAAGTGGGAAAGGATGGGTGATAAGGAGTGATGAGAAGATTAACAGTAATAGTAGTGCAGACTTTGTAAATAGTTGAACAGTGTTGAGGGAATTATTTGTTTGGCAGAGTGATGGCTTTCGGGGAAAAACTGTCCTTGTGTCTAGTTGTTCTGGTGTGCAATGCTCTATAGGATCGTTTTGAGGGTAGGAGTTGAAACAGTTTATGTCCAGGATGTGAGGGGTCTGTAAATATTTTCACAACCCTCTTTTTGACTCGTGCAGTATACAGCAGGGAGTTGCATTTTCAGGTTACACTAAACCAAAATTGGGCAACCTTTTGGTGGTTGGTAGGCCACCAAATACTTTTCAGGACAACTAAGAACTGAAATGAAGAAAACAGATGATGATAAGACAACAGGCCATGTCATGCCCATACGTGAGGGAACCAGTCCCTTTTGCTTCTCCTGGTTTGTAGAGGAAATCAGGTGGTATTTCTTTTTCTCTGTGGTAAAGCTACATCTTTTGTCATTCAAAACTGTGAAAACTAAAACATGGTGATTTTTAACAACTGTGGTCAAAAGCAATGGTGTGAGTCACACAGGAAAATATTTTTTTAAAAAATTAACAAATTGAGGCTTGCATGCCATCCTGGGGTTTTACAGTAACAACATAGCCTATACCTGCAGGAAGCCTTAAGGCTGGTTTAGTGGCAAAACACCTGTTAACCTGCTCACAAGTGGTGCTTCCAATGAGCCCACCCATGGCTTAATTCCCCACACTTAAGATGTGTAAGATGTGTCTATGGCTTCCTCCAGCTAGAGGAAATCATAAAGGTGTAACTTGTTTTATTTGTTTAGTGCCAGAGTCTTCTTTTCTTTTTCCTTTTTTCCCCCCTTTTGGTGGATGAAGTCAGAATCGGATGTTTGTATAACATGCTAAATTTGGCTCGCTAAGCCTAGCTTGTTCCTGACCACATTTACAGCTATGTTTGTAAAAGTAGTTTTTTCCATGTCAGTTACTTTCCTTTGAAACATAACACTTCTCTGCTTTTAACCCAGACTGCTGCTTATGCGCCAGAAAGAAAAACGGGCACTGTATAGCATAAACATATATATTCTCATGTGCACATAAATGTAACAGTGTGGACTGGTAAATAAGTAATATAACTTGAAGGCAGGGCTGGGATTCTACTGGTTCGCACCTATTCGCTAGAACCAGTTGATAACATTCTAAGCAGTTCGGAGAACCGGTTGTCAGAAGAAATTACTGGCCTAATCCTGTAAGGAAGGCAGGAAGGAAACATTCTGGTGTTGATTACAGAAACTGCCTCTCCATTAACCCTTATTACATTCTTGGCAGGACTAGACTTCCTGTCTCAGGAACTTCTCTGGAGTTTTTTTCCCCCTCCTTTGCTGATACTTTGCTTCTGTGGAGTGACCATTCAAAGTTACAATGGCACAGAAAAAAGTGACTTATGACCATGTTTCACACTTATGACTGTTGCAACATCCCCTCAGTCATGAGAGGCCAGGCGAGGAGATGCATGCCTCAATGTGAGTGATATTGAATTGGCCATACCCAGCCAATAACATGACCACCAAGCCACATCCACCCAGTCACATGACCACCAAGCCACCACCTAAGCCACGTCCACAGAACCGGTTGTTAAAAATTTTGCACCCCACCCCTGCTTGAAGGCATATTGCATATAATACACAGTGGCAGATGAAAGCTTCAGAATTAGAGACCAGGAGGAATCTATGCAGAACCTTGACTTGTGTTGTCCCCATACTGTTTTCCTAGCAATGTTGTGAAGGTAGTTTGTTCAGAATGTTTTTTCCACTTTCCAATCTAGCCAAATTAGCCATTGTGGAATAATGGTTATGATACCAGGCTAGAAACTGACAGACTGAGCTCTTGCCCTGGCTTGGGACTGACTTGGGCCTGTCAGTCTCTCTCTCTCTCAGCCCTGGCATGAAGATAATGGCAACTCACATCTATAATCTTGACAAGTAAAGTGCAGAAATATATCCAGGCAGTCACCAGAAGTCAAAACTGGTTCAAAGGCAGAAAAAAATGTTTAGCCAATAGCCCTGTAATTCTAAATGCTAACCAGAAATAACCTTGTTTAGCTTCAGCAGCCCCTATAAGATTGATTGAAGCAACAGGGTTGTTTTGCCTGGTATGACAAGTCCTCTAATTGAAAAAAAGAGGAAAAAGCTTTGAGCTAATTGGGCCAGAAGTTCATTTAGGAGTCAAAAGATTACCAAAGTTTGCAACTTTTCACCAACTACTGAAAGCATGACTTCAAAGGAGATAAGGGTTTTCATTTCATTTCATGATGAGTGAGATAACCCACATGCAGTACATGTGTTTTTTTTTTTTTCATTTATAGAGCACAGAACATGGAATCATAGGGCAGAAAGAAACCTCAGAGGTTTTTTAGTCCAACCTGCTGCTCAAGGCAGGAGCGCTGGTGCTAGTAATAGCACTTAGACTTACAGTAATATACCGGCTTCACATTGCTTTACAGCCCTCTCTAAGCAAACGTCAGCATATTTACAAATGTCAGCATATTTCCCACAACAATCTGGGTCATTTTACTGACTTTTGAAAAATGGAAGGCTGAGTCAACCTTGAACCGGTGAGAATCGAACTGCTGGCAGTGAACAGTGAGTTAGCCTTCAATACTGCATTCTATCCACTGTACCATCACAGCTCCTACAAGGAGGCCTTACAACACCTGGTGTAAGTATTTTTAAGGTGAGTTTTTAAATTTTGATTTTGTGATTGAATGGAATCACAATATCAATACCACAATATCTTTTATTTATTAAACTGGGACATCTTTATTAAATTATATTTATTAAACAGGGACATCTAATAGAAAAGGCCCCTCCATATATGGCACTTGCCATTTATAGGACCAACTTTATGCTATGGGAACACTGGAGCTCCATGGAGCCTTGGATAAGACCATTTCCCATTTGTAGGAACATCTGCTTCACCCACTCCAGGCTCATGCACTCTCTTACCCAGAAGTAATTTCACAGCAGTTTTAGATTGTACCTTGACAGCTCCCACTCCTAAAAAAAAGTCCCCAATGCCAAACAATATACTCCCCCCAAAATGGCTAGGGATTTCTGGGTTATCTTTTAGTCATCTGGAGGTCAATTGATGACCTTAAACAGCATTCAAGGTTCACAATAGTGAGACCATTTTAAAATGGCTTTTGAAACTTTGGGGGAAGATGATAGTGACAAGAGCCAGGAGTTGTTTGACTCTTAAAATTGTGTGTGGGTGTGGATGTGGATGTGTACTGTCGGAGGTCCAGTCATGTTTTCCCCCCATCTTGGACAGGGTAGTTAACAAATGTTAAGATATTTAGTGCTAGATAAGTAGGAAGACTACAGAAAATGTCAAATATAATTTGTGTAAGCAAGTTAAAGTGATGTATAAAAATGGTTCATCCTAAATTTATGAAAACATGGGTAGTCTAGACAAACTAGGAAGTGACTTGGGGATTGTGATGTAATCATCATGATGAAAGGCACTGTAATCCTCTAGTCTATAATCTAGCTTTCCCAATTGAGAAATACACAGGATTGCCTTTGTATTTAGAATCCTATGTTCGGCTCTGATCACTAAACTTCAAAAGGTTTTCTCAGTTTTACCCTATGTAGAGAGTTACAACATTTAGGAGTTTTTTTTTTAAATTTACTTTCTTTCTTTAAAAAAAATACAGTAACATTTGTAATGAACATGCCTGTGATAAGAAACCAGCAAAAGAAACAGTAGAAGAACCGTGAAGGTTATTATAAGAAAACAGACTTCTACACCCCTCTAAATTTCAGTCCCTTTTCTTGGCAAGGTTTTTTGGAAGTGGTTTGCCCTGGCCTATTTCCTAGGGCTGAGAGGGGAAGACTGGCCCAAAGTCACCAAAGCAGAGGTGGGAGCAGAACTGAGGATCCCCCAGTTTCTAGGCTGGTGCCTTAACTACAACACCAATTGGGTAATGCACGCCTCCCCAACATTCATTCATTAGTATATCCTATATCCTTAAGGAAAGATTGCATGTAGTCTAAATCACCGTCAATGCCATTATCCTAGGTCAGCCTTCTCTAAGATGACCCTCCGGAGAAATGTGAAGTAGAAAGCTCCTAATTCCCAGTCCAGGTCACAAAGAATGCAATGGCTCAGAGTTACAGCTGAGGACAGATTGGGGAAGACTGACTTGGAAACTAATGGAAACTAATCAAGGAGAGAAACAACCTGGAATTAAGGAGAAACTTTCTAACAGTGAGAACAATTAGCCAGTGGAACAGCTTGTGTTCAGAAATTGTGAGTGCCCCATCACTGGAGGTTTTTAAGAAGAGACTAGACAGCCACTTGTCTGAAATGGCATAGGGTCCCCTGCTTGACCAGGGGGTTGGACTAGAAGACCTCCAAGGTCCCCTTCCAGCTCTGTCTGATTGACTGACCCGGCTAACTCCGGAGCATGAGAAGCGCGGTATCAACCCGGAATTATGCCCTTCGAGAATAATTCTTCGCATGTCCACTTTAAGGAGAAACCCCAGTCGAAGCGACTCCCTTCCTCCCAATCGTGCCCGACGCCTCCGCTTTTCTTATATGTACCCATTTCATGTATTCACAACTATGTATACACTTATACTTATTATCTTGTAAACAATTGGCAAATCAAATAAATAAATAAATAAATAAATAAATAATAAAGTTACTCCCCACCCAAACACCCACTTAGCTTTGGTCCTCCACCTGCCTTACTCGACCGAGGGGTGCCCCGCCTTCTTTGCCTCCGCCTATGGGGACGAGACTCCACCCCTCGTTCCTTTCCCAGGTAGAGCGCTCGATTCTTCCTGTTTAGTTGGCGCGGTGTGGCCGCGCTTCCCCCCCCCTTCTTTTGGTGCGGGCGGGAGATAAGGAAAGGAAGGGAGAGGCGCTCCGGAGTCTGGGGCAGAGGATGGCTGCGACCTCGTGCGTCGGTCTTTCGTGGCTCCTTCTTCTCCCGCTCGACTGCTTCCTTATTTGACAGTTAATCGCGACCCGGTTGGGTTGTTCCGTTCACGTTCACGCCCTCTCCGACCGGCGACACGCTTGGAGCCCCGGCTGCTGCTGCTGCTGCTGTGGATCTGGAGCGGGAAAACCCCCCGGGGCGGGGTGGACCGAAAAGAGAGGAGAGCGACTCAGCCAGAAAGAACTTCGACTCGCCGTCTCCGGACCGCCGCCTCCGCCTCAGCGTGAAGTGCGCCGGCAAAAAGGGGAATTCACTTCTCCCGAGTGTCGGTAAGTGCGGGAGGTCTGTGAGTGGCGCCTCTCCGGTTTGGGTTGCCTTCTTCCTGCCGACGACGCTGGGTTGCTTGGTTCGCCTGCGTTCTCACGCTTAGTTTCGCGAGGGAGACTCCGCTCCCCCCACCCCGTGCTTAGCCCTTTCGTTTGTTCTTTTTCTTTGACCCGCAAACCTGTTAGCCTGTCGCCGTGTTCAGCTACAACGCCCATCATCCTCATCCAGAGCGTGGGTCAAAGGCTGCTTTGCGCCCCAAACCCCCTTGTCAAGACCTTCTACCCATGTGCGTTGTTTCGCCGCCTTTCTGGGAGAACCCGCTATTGCAGATAAAACTACAGTATTGCAACATAGGTTTTTGCTGCTTTCCTGTTCCTTGTAAGTTCAATTCTTTAGTTTTTCTATTCCCCGACCCAGTTTTCCATCCCAGTGATTCATCTGTAGATTTTGCTAGCCGGATTCTACTCCCCCCCCCCTTTTTTTTTCTTCTCCTGATAAGAATGCAGCTACTTCCATTTGATGAAAACAGTTTGTAATGAGCTGTATTTACTCATCGTTTAAGTAAGGTTGATTTAAACGGAGTTTAATTCTGTCAGAGTGCAAAGGACTCCAGGGGGTTGGTTCATTGTTTACAGATTTGACCTCAAGAGTTCTTGAGGTCCTTTGTTGTTTGTTACCAAATCAGATATATTTTGCTCCTCAATATTTCTCTCCAGCGAAGCTGTGCTTGAATTAAACACGGGGAACTATAAGAACTGTATGGATGAGATCCATCAAAATAAGCATGGTGATTGTAGTATTAAAGACTAATTTGAGTCTGCATTTGGTAATCTTGGGTACCACAAATCATACTGTTTTAGATACAGCAGCCAACACATTTAACTTTTAGAAGTTGCTACAAATGAACAAAAGATACTATAATACAGTACTTTAGGTTGTCTGGCAATATTTTTCAACAGAACATAGAACAAAGTCTCTACTGTATAGAGGGGACAGTGATGTAATATTTTACGGCTGCCATCTCATTGTTAAAGTGCCTATTATGTACTTCAAATAGCTGTTATTTAACATTTTTGTGCTTCTAAATTTTATTTACGTTATAGTTCCAAACTGCCCCATCTTTCAAAGGGAAAGAATGCAAAACAATATTAAAACTAAGGACCTCAGCTCAGAGGAAAATGCAATCTTAAATACAGGGGACATCTATAATTTGTATAACACCATACAACAAAATATCACCAACCATAATTCCTGGGCAAAAACATACAACCCATTTGATTCTTTGTGAATTCATAATATAGTCTGTTTTGTTATTACATGTTGTGTTAAAATACAGTGCGAATTTGTTGCCCTTGGTCTATAGTATGTTGTATAAACACAGTTTAGAGAGGAAAATATAATATAGGCCCTGATAAGCAAAAGGTTATAAATCATACAATGTGAATTGAAACCACTTAATTTTTCCTGCTTAAAACACTGAAACACAAGGCTATCTGGTTAAATTATCTATGGTTTATTCAGGGCTGAGAACACCAAGACCTGATTCAAGGAGATCTCTGTGTAAAGTAAGTTTGAAATTTATTCATGGAATTAGTTAACAGGATTCTTGTTAAGGAAATGCTGGCTCTCTCATTACACATGCAATATTTGGTGGCCAATTACAAACGTAGTTGTTGGTACAAGCAAAGGGCCACATTTTTTTTTTCTGATATCCGTTTTGAGAATGTCTCCAACAGCACCTGCTCCACATGTTAAGCTGCATTCTAGTTTAGCTTAATTTTATGAACAGTGTCAAGGTTCTCTGCTGATTTAAGGGATTGAGTTTAATTCAAGGAAATGAGGCATTATTATTGCACCTTAGAGGAGATTATAAATATAAATATAAAATGTATATATAGGGCTGTAACACGAAAGTACTATATTGCCAAAATGGCAGAATTCCTGTCTTCCAGTGGAAACTATGGTGTTGGAAAAATACCAAAATGAACTAATAAAAAGACAGAATATGGATTCAGGCAGTTTAAACTTTGGGAGGAGAAAAGAGGGGGAAAAACCAGAGTGAACTTGTTCAGTGAGAGGTTCATAGCCCAAAGGAAGATTTTCTTTCATGACGGCCTGTGAGCACCACTAGACACAGAAATTACGATCTTGCTTTATACAAATTTCACAAATTCATTGTGAACTTGCCTCTTTGGGTATGAATTGGGACATATTTTGGGGATAAAGATTTTCTTTTATGTCACACCACTTGAAATTCTAGCACGCACTTCCTATCAGTGAGACTTTTAACATTAGAATAACATAGCTTTATAGTCATAATACAGGAACTGTTGTTTTGACAGTCAAAGACAAAACTCTCTGGTTAGTATAAACTGCCTTCCCCCCTTTTTTCTCCTTTAGAAAGATAAATGGGTAGACAGTTGCCTAGCCATGGAGAGAAGCCTTGCAGCACTAAGAAATGAATAGAAGAAAAAGAAGAGAAAGCTGTTGTGCTAAAACAGGGACAGCTTCTTTCCTCATGCCATCACCTTACTGAACACCTAATTCTTGCAGCTGACAAAATGCAGTGACTATTAAAAAATGTTTTGTCTAATGTGGGTGTGTATATTAACCCATAAGGTGTGGCTGTAGTATTGTTTTTCCCTTTTATTTTTTTTACTTCCCCTTTTTTGGCTATATACTTTAATATTATTATATTTTGTTGCTTTGAAAGTACATTGAGTGCTTCTGTATTAGAGACAAATTCCTTGTGTGTCTAACCACAGTTAGCCAAATAAATAAAGTATGATAAAGTAAGGCAGTGAGCTGACAATGATTGCTTGATGACTTTTGAGGTATCATGTTTCTCCTCATCCCATGACACAGGGAAAGCCTCAGAATGACTTCCTGGTCAGTTTAATAGCTGATTCTAATAAGTTCCAAAAAATTCTAAATAATGGCTATTGAAAGCACAATGTAGTATTAACGTTTACCAACTCATGAAATTTAGATAATATGAATTATTACTGTATTCCTGAATATGAGGTACAGGGAAAAGCCAGGACTGGATTGGCTGGCCACATTCCCACATGCCAGTGTGGGGGAATGATAAAGAACCCCTTGTATAAATCTTGACTACTCAGCAAGAATATGGCACTGATTTAAACTCAGCCCATGGTCTCTTTTAATGTACATTATACAAAATTGGTGCAAATATCATGATATATGCATCAATTTGCATACCGAGGACATTAAATAAATGATGTAAGTTGCTAGGGGTGCTGTAAAATTACATCAATTTAACTGCCTCATCCAGCCTATTGCCTCATCCATTACTTTAGGGCACAATTAGGATGGAAATTGGGTCTGTGAAACCTGAGGTTTGCAGCATGGGGTTCTGCTAAACTGAGGCTTTACTGTATTACAGATATTGTACATTTTCCATCTCAGGTTGTCAGGAAACTGCCTTTTGGGATTTATTATTATGGGAATATAGGATTACAAAGAGAGGGAGGGAGGGAGGGAGGGAGGGTGAGTGAGTGAGTTGTGGGCTGGTAGATAATCTGATCTTCTCAGGCTGCCCAATCCTGCTTTAAATCTAGAAGTTAGATATTACCATTTTTAGTAATGGGTGAAAAGAAGAACACAGAACAGTCCAGGTGATTTTTTTCCAGTCTTTATTGAAACACAATTGGCCCAGCAGAAAACAGGGCTATGCATGTCATATTCAATTACACAAAGTATCTTAGTTTTGTAAAACATGGGCAGCATCCAAACGGAGGCAGAATAAAATAGTATTTTATCCAGAAAAGATTTAGAAAAGAATGACCTGAAACAGCCATGTGATTTAGAGGCTATTTTAAGGCACAATTTGGATGGAAATTGAGTCTGTTGAATCTAGTTGCTCAGGGAATGTTTTGAACTTCAAACTAAATCTTGAAGATCTCTGGCATCAGAGCCATACAATTAGCAACTGTCTCAAGGATGAACACAGTTTAACTCTAGTATCATTTCCTATCATTGCTCTTCTGAAAGAACAGTTTTGCCTCGGTGTAGGGAAACAACCTGCTGGCTTTAGAATAATTGTGGAGATTAGCCAGTGAAAGTAATTTGCTTTGGGACGAGTTTCATTGAGCTAACAAGGAGTTTCATCCTAGTCACTCCCTCAGTATAGAAGTATGTTCAATATTATAAAAGTTGTTTTTACAACACTAAGATAAGAGCTAAGTGCACTCTATGTGGTCTCTTTGACTTTGAACTTTTGTTCTCACAATAGGAATTGATGCTAGATGATGATCATATATGACCTACCATTTGCAGTAGTGACTTAAACATTTCAAGGTGGAATCTAACTTGTGATTGTGACTTAAAAGTTAAAAGGCGTTACAAATTCTAGACTGATAAAAAATTGTCTGGCATAAGTTATCTAAACTCATCTTTGGATCAAAACATGGGAATTTCCGGAACAGAAAGTCCTCATGTCTCTCTGTGTCTCTCCAATAGATAGGGCTTTTAAAACCTGGGGTACCAGAATCAGAATCGAGACAATTGTGAATCACACTTTTCTCTCTCTGTGTGTGTTGTCATGTAGTAGCTGTTTGGATCAGATCTGTCATTAGAGCTCTCTTCTCCCCACCCCACCCCAGGCAGCTTGAAGAAAGAAAAGGGAAGGCAATTTGGTCTTTCCTTCTTTTTCCTCCAACATCACCTGTAATGGAGCTTTGGAGGGTTCTTGGTCTATCCCAGTTAGTTCTCTGCTGATGTAGGGAGCCACAGAGACAAGCCTGCTTTCCAAGGTTTTCCTTCCAGCGCTGTTTGGGAGGCACTCAGTGTAACATGCCAAAGAATTATCACTGGCTATAAAAGTCCTTGGCTGCAGATATGGGAAAGATAGGTCAAAGGAACTTTTTTGTTTGTTTGTGTAGCAGCTGAAGAATTTATTTTAGAGCTAAAGCAGTTGCAGAAGTTCATCAAAGAAATTGCTCCAGCTCTGCTTCTAACAAGCAAATGATTTTCACCTAACACGTGCAAAGATTTCATGTTTCTTTCCTCTTTCCTTCCCTAGGAAAGGAGTCTCTTTCTTTGGGCTGTTCAAATCAACACAACTGACCCTTCAGTAGAACTATTGACTATTGATCAAATTAGTTTGTTATAAAGTGGAAAGAGTACCAAAGAGACGGTGTAAAAAAAATTATGAGGTAGATTTTTTCGGAAATATTTTTGCCAGCTCCTCTCAGTCTTTTTTTTTAAACAATTTTATTACTGTGATGTTAAAAGTGTTGCAGATAGTATCTTATGTGAAACAAAGGTCACATCTTTTGCCATATTTTCCTCCTTTTGCAAAGTTGAGACAGGAAACATCTTCAATCGTGCTAACCACCACAACATTCCCATATCTGCAGTTTGTGTTACTTTAATGCTCAATATTCTAAGGCACAGTTTCCCAATTATGGCAATTTCCAATTCTGTGAACTTGAAATCTCAGAATTCCACAGCCAGCATAGCCATTGATGAAAATTCTGGAAGTTGGAAGTCCACAAATTGGGAAGCCCTGTAAGGTGTCTAATTATTTATGCAACCTGAAATTCCCATTCTACTCTGTGACAAGCCTCCTCCAGTTGGCATCATAATGCACTGGTTAGTCTTTGCATAGCATTGTGGTTTTATTTCATTACTTGTAGCAAGTTAGTATTTCCATGTTTTGGATGCAATTTAGTGGTTGAGCAGCAGAGTTGCAGCCATTTCTGAAGACTTGACATTTACAAAACAAAATTTATGTAGGGTTTGATGTGGGATCTTTAAGTTACCCCAAAAAACCACAATGGCAGGAAAACAAGTAAAGATCCAGAGCTTTCTGGAGTGCAGCAGCCACTGGGAAGGGAATCGATCCTCCCTGCAGGCTACAAACATGCCATGACCTTTCAATGATACTTTTAAATACATGTAATAAATTAGTGTTGGGGTCATCAGTTTCAGGGCTTCATATTCTCTAGGTTGACTGATCAACCAGTTGTTTTTTTTTAAAGCTGGGCCTCTACTCTCAGGACTGTAGAACAGGTGCTTAACCCATGGCCTAGATGGAAGGGCCATGGCAGAGGCAAAGCACACCTGCCAGACCAATGGAGACGGTTGGGGACTGCTGTCTTATATTAAAGAGAATCAAGGCATTTTCCACATTTTTTCTTTGCTTTCATGGCTAAGCTTTCTTCAAAGCTATCTCTGTGTTCTTCTACACTCTCTATTCTCCTCAGGAAAAAAATAGCAGAGTCTTTAGTTTGAGGCAAGGTAGCAGTGTATATATGGCCATAGAAATGTCAGGGATAGAACAGTAGGGCTGGTTTCATTCCAACCATATTCTTGGTAGCTGATTTATGTTGGGAAGTGGATAGGGAAAGTCTGATGCTGTTGTTTTCCTGACTCTCACTGCAGCTTTCAGAGCTATTAGTTATAATAGCTATTAGTTATAATAACTTTCCAGGATTTTTTTTTTTTTGTAAATTGTATTTGAGTTTTCACAAAGAAATACAAATAAAACATCTTTTTTGAAAGTAGCGTGATCCCGGGTTACATTTCTTGATAGACACAA